ATGCGTTTCCACCACTGATATTACTTCCGAAAGTACTGTTGAAGATCAAACAGACGCAGGCGCTACAACTGACTTTGGTCGCGCCATACTGGCCAGCGAGAGTATGGTTCCTAGACCTAATAGAAGATCTCGGAAGTCCAACAATCACGTTACCAGATTGACCGAAGCTACTCATACATCCGCGCACCAGTCCACGGGAACCCAACACTGTTCCAGCTTCCCGTTGTGGACCGTATCAAAACATGTTTGAGGAAAAGAGGATATTCCGCCAGGGCAGCCAAGGCAGTAACGCTGGCATTACACAGATCTACTCGTAACCTGTATGATGACAAGTGGTTGAAGTTTGAGACTTATGCAAGGCGGAAAGGCTACTCATCTTCAAGTGGCGGAATACCTGTGTCATCTTAGACAGACTAGACATCTGGAAGGTTCGACATTATCTACATACCTCGCTGCCATTAGTACAGTGATTACCATGAAAACAGGCATCAAGTTGACGAAAGTACCAGAATTACTTGCTCTGCTGAGATCTTTTAAACTGGAGGACCAGCAAAAGAAAGAGCTCCGCCTGGGATCTGAATGCATCATCTTACAAGTGCTGTTATTTAACCTCTAGACCAGACTACCTTCCTAGAGATTAGCCACGGCAGCTCGAATATCAGAGATACTCTGGACTTTGGTCGAACCTCGAGGTTCCATTATCTACATACCTCGCCGCCATTAGTACAGTGATTACCATGAAAACAGGCAACATGCTGGAGGACCAGCAAAAGAAGTTCAGAGCTCCGCCTGGGATCTCATACTAGACCAGGACTTGCTAACACAGAAGATGTTCTGCTTATGCTAGCACGCAGCTCGAATATCAGAGATACATGTGCTGGATTGCCAACGGGATGCTGCAGTTCATCTAACTTGGATGGGACTTCATTGCCAAGAACTAACTACCTGGTCAGCCAGATAGACAGTTCCACGTACCAGCGCTATCTACAATCCTCAGACCAGAGGATATAGAGGACCTATCCTTGTGTCCGGTCAGAGCCCTGAGGATATATCTTCAAAAGACTTAAGACAAGGAGATGAAAATTCAAGCGCCGGTTCATCCCATTATCCACAGAGACATCAGCAGAAGTCCCGCCATATAGCCGGAATATTGCTGAGTGCGGCGTAAAACTAAACTCACTCAGCAGAAGTCTCAAGAATGACGATATCATTCTGGATGAGAGCCGTCATATTGAGAGCCTATAAAGCAGCAGGACTAGAACCTCCTGGAGCTTCCAACCCACATGAGCACTGGCGTCAACATTGGCTCTGCACAGAAATTGCTCTATCAGCAATTATGAAGGGCTGCTTTTGGAAGTCAGATACGGTGTTTGCCAACCACTACCTCCGAGACATGGCCACTGAAGACGTCTCAGGCATTTACCAATTTGGGCCTCTCGTTGCAGCACAGCAACTAACGGTTCCTCAAAGGCGCTGAGTTGGAAAATCTCACCCTTTATCACGTTGACTTGTTGATAACTTTTACAAAGGAAAAGTATATGTTTGAAAGTCCATGCGCACAGTCTAGGACAGGCTAGCATGAGTGATTAAAGATCCTGTACGGGTAAAGATCTTACCTGTACGTGAAGGGGTCGCAACTCTTTATGATAAAGATCTTATCATAATCTATGGGTTGTTGTAAGATATCTAGTAATAAGAAGATACTAGTTTATCTGTAGCCACATGAATCAAGATGATTCAACTTGTCTGAGATGGAAGTAAGACAAGAAAGTGGTCCCCCTGAGTTATAACGGAAGTTGGAAGAATAGGATCTCGGAAATGCCGTTTCGCAGTTCCCATGGGGGTATTCATGATGTGTCTAAGGACAGCTGATGAATCCACGAAGTGCCTTGACCCACCACCAATCCGTCAGATTCTATAAGGAAAAGATCATGAGTCAGGATAAGAAAAAATATGTAATTTTTCAAGTAAAATTGATATTTTTTTACTTATCCTGACTCATGACGAGAAGCAATCCCAACCTCCCTGCTGAAGCCACTTTGGATTTCACAGAAGATCCAAGTGCATGGGCAGAAAATCAGGATAGAGTGACAAGTAAGGCTGGTCACATGACTGTGTGCGTGGGAAAAGGGCAAAAGGGAGGTAACTCGTGGGTGAATGTATTTATACGTCCGCTTCGGGAACTTCAAGGGATTCAAACTACCATTCGCAAGGAAAAGGGAGATACCCGGTAAGCAAAAGATCATGAGTCAGGATAAGTATAAAAATATTAATTTTACTTGAAAAATTACATTTAATTATAGGACATTATTTTTCATTAAATAATGGTCTGAGAAGGGTGTCTCCCCAGGGCCCTTATTCTCGAAACGCAGTCCTGAGAATTCTTGACTTTGATCGTAGATTGTTTCGAGAATAGCTAGCCAGATTAGGAGTTTTTATCATATGAGGCATTTGGTCATATTTATTACATGTAAGTTTATACAGTTTTTCCATTTTTGTTGATTAGCCAACTGGCGCTGGGCTGAGAAGTACTTGCTTGTCAAGAGGGGTTCTGTGGCCCCATTGGTGCAAGTGTGTGTTGGATTGTCTGTTTTCTACTACTTTCTACAGTACAGAGCCCACAGTGAGTGTCTTCCACTTTGATCAAACATTCCATTCATATTAATATGAACTCATGATTAGCAGTGGGAGTATTTTTTTTGTTTTGGTTTAGGCTGTTAACAGTGTCAAGAACAAAAGAACAATCGTTATCCATGTTCTTGCATAACTACAAATATGTGATGAAAGGTTTTGAAGCACTGTCAAAAGTTTATCCCATATATCTTTTTGACTGTCCAAAAGGTTTGTATTGTTAACAGTTTTAACCAGAAATTTCAGGAACTGAAACACATCTTTACTTTTTCCAAGAACCTATCCAAGATTGGTTAACCTTGTCTCATTCTCTCAAGGCCACCCAGCAAAAAATGGAATACTGGTCCTTTTCCGGTTTTGAAGCTCCTTAAAATAATCCATTATGTCAGTTTTAAAAATGTCCTTTGTTTCAGCAAATCACCGCCACACCAAGTACCATTAACTTCTAACGGCCCTAGCCCCATGTGTGTTGAGAGAGGATATACTTGTAGCAGCCATGTTGGACATCAGTTCTTCATTTCGGATGGCCTCAGTGTTATTCAGTTGACCAAATGTAACTATTCAAAATAAATTAAAATTTGATCTGATTTGTTTTGTTTTCTCTTCTCAATTCTAATAGAACTGGTAATCTTACTGCTTCACTTAGGTTGTTTGTGCTTATCAACATATAGGAGTGTGATAATTTTGGAAGAAGGGTTGTGTCTAGCTTACATGCTCTAAAGTTACCAGCTGACAAACATGTCTAATACAGTGTCATTTTCTTCTGCACTTTTTATTATGAAATATAATGAACATTGAAAATATGGACTAATGTATAATCACTATAGACTGTTTGCAGTGAAAACGTACCGATGAATTTCACTATAAACAAAAAAGTAAATCAACTAAAGTGAAATTAAGATTGTGAAACCTCATAAATTTTTTCTTATCCTGACTCATGATCTATTGCTTATCTCCCTTTCCTTTTCGAATGGTAGTGGAACACTTGAATCCCTTGAAGTTCCTAAAGTGGACGTAAAAATACACTCACCCACGAGTTACCTCCCTTTTGCCCCACAAACAGTCCTTTGACTACAGACATTTGTCTCACCAGTTCCAGATCCTGAAGCCTGGGCAACAGATGCACTGAGCAAATCTTGGGAAGGACTAAACGCTTGCGCGTTTCCATCCCCGATATTACTTCCGGAAGTACTGTTGAAGATCAAACAGACACAGGCGCTACAACTGACTTTGGTCGCACCATACTGGCCAGCGAGAGTATGGTTTCTAGACCTATAGAAGATCTCGGAAGTCCATCAATCAAGCTACCAGATTGGCCGAACCTACTCATACATCAGCACACAAAGCAAGTCCACGGGAACCCGACAGCGTTCCAGCTACACGTGTGGACCGTATCAAAACATGTTTGAGGAAAAGAGGATACTCCGCCAGGGCAGCCAAGGCAGTAATGCTAGCGTTACGCAGATCTACTCGTAACCTGTAATACGTATCTAAGGACAGCTGATGAATCCATGAAGTGGCTTGACCCACCACTAATCCGTCAGATTCTATAAGCAAAAGATCATGAGTCAGGATAAGAAAAAAATATGTAATTTTTCAAGTAAAATTGATATTTTTATACTTATCCTGACTCATGACGAGAAGCAATCCCAACCTCCCTGCTGAAGCCACTTTGGATTTCACAGAAGATCCAAGTGCATGGGCAGAAAATCAGGATAGAGTGACAAGTAAGGCTGGTCACATGACTGTTTGCGCGGGAAAAGGGCAAAGGGAGGTAACTCGTGGGTGAGTGTATTTTTACGTCCGCTTCGGGAACTTCAAGGGATTCAAGTGTTCCACTACCATTCGAAAAGGAAAGGGAGATAAGCAAAAGATCATGAGTCAGGATAAGTATAAAAATATCAATTTTACTTCAAAAATTACATATTTACCTTGCCAGTTGAACGTTTAAATCAAAGAATTTTATTCAACTTAGGACAAAAGTTGTTTTAGAAACGATCTCATATTCAAATCTCAATTATTGGTTTGTATATCAAGGGGGTATGCACATTAAATGAAACACCAAGAATGAATAGGGTTGCATTTGTTTCACTGTTCCAACCACTGCGCTTACCCCCTTGTTATACAAACCAATACTGATAGAAACCATTTTATCACTAACGGGATGGGGTGGTCAGGCCCGCCCACTTGGTTGATGCATGTCATTGTATCCCAGTTGTTGACTGATAATTATGATGTCAATCACTGAATTGTTTGGTCATGACTTGATTATTTACAGACTGTCATTATATAGCTGGAAAATTGCTGTGTGCAGCATTAAATCTGAAAAAAAAAGTATATATACAGGGGATAAAAAACAGACACACTAGTACATCACATTGAATTTTATTGAATCATTGAATAAAGATAAGAAAATATATTGGCTATATATATATATATAATATATATTGGACTAAACTTCACAAAATAATGTTTCAGTATTTTTTACTTCTTCTACAGAGTTGAAAATAAAAGCTTTGAAAATTAATGTCAAATAGTGTAAAGCTATTAAATACTGCATAACTGGTTAAAACTGTGCAAATAAACTTCCGTTCAATATTTATCCGAGACCAATCATCACTTAGATTTAGTGTTCAACATCAACATGCCACTTGTGATTCAGATGTGTTATCACTGGTCCGCAGTACCATGTACAACCATCCACATCACATCACTATCAGGGATAGTACAGCATGAATGGACAGTCTGAGGATGCCCCTTTCCAGCAGGCATGGATGCTATAATCAATGAAGCTGTCAATTATACAAAAGGTGTTCAACACTGACACCTACCCTCAAAATACATTTATCATGTTTAACTATGAAGCCAATGGGCATCGTTTACAAGGTATGCCCATATTTAAAAAACTGGAACTAACTTATTGACCTTGTCCATGATATTGATACAGTGCAGAAGGTCATGACATATATTACTATTACTGATAGCAAATATTCCTATTCATATTGCTAAAAGGGTAAATATTCGGGGTACATTGTCAGAACAAGTTACTGCCTGTGAAGTGGCAGGTGACTCCTATTTTGAACACTTTGTTTACTATGTACATTGGTGAAGCATTAACACTACACATGCACAGCTATGTACACAACTGTACAAGACAGTGAGGGACTATAACGAGGATCATGTACAGTATATACATACAAGCATGGTACATTGTAAGTTGTCGGAGACATACCAGTAATACGATATCAAATATGTGCAAAAATACCTGAACAGTGAAACCTTCTTAGTTCAGATTGTATGATATTGAGTGAAATTGTTTCATGAGCAAATGTGTATAAGTATCACTCTGATCATGACGAGACATTCCTTGTAGTAATCTGGTTTCTGGATTAACTCGCTCAGGACTGACTAAGTTTCTCTGTCTTCAATTCGGAGTATTTTTTTGAAACCTATGTTCATTCATCTTGAAGGGAAGAGCATTCAACATCTTCCATGTTTCACAACCTGTTGAAGTTCAACTTCAACTACTGAACATAAGACTTTTATACACTGTCTTGCTGTAGAAGTCCACACAAATGTTCACCCATGAACATGCAAGAAAGGATTAATACTGAACATAAATACTTCATTTCCTCATCCTGATGCTCCAAAATCAAATCAATATGCCATATTTTTATATAGTCCTAATTTAACAATTTCCTTAAAAGGAATAAACAAGGAAAATTACACAAAAAATTTCGTCTAATGAAATTTTGCATATATTTATAAACATAACGTAAATGATTGTTTTTTCCATGGGTGAACAAATGCTTTCTTGTATTTCTATTCTAAATGAAATAAGTTGATGATATTGCACCAATTTATAACAATTTCAATATGAAATATAACATTGAAACCTTTCATATGTTTTCAAACATACAAGATGGACAAATTGAACATACATGTATTTACATTTCAAATATACACGGTGTACAATGAACATTCAGCAAACTAAACTGTCATGAGTAGCAGAAACAAGGAGGTAAACATATACAGATCAACATCTACCATACAAAACCCATTTAAACAAACATGAAATATAACTGGTGCTCACACTTCAGCCATGAAACTAATACACAATGGAATAAATTACTTGGAACTGTTTAGCCAGAATTGTAGCATTTACACAGTTATCTCCCTTGACCATTGATATTAAGAAATAATCAACTTACCAGTTGATAATATTAAATAAACTCCCCTTGCCCAAAATAATAAAAAAAAGTTTCAGTCTATATAAATATTCACTGAAAAAAGTTGTTCAGAGCCCAAGAAAACAATAAATTTTACGATCCCTTTCTATCATTACCACGGTATAACAAAAGGCAATGTCTGAAAATTGACAATAGCTGGTGGATGTCTTCCTGCACAATGAAACATATTTGCAATTTGTATTTGTGTTGTGTAACCTAGCCTAAAAGACATGATCTAATCAAAGTGTCAATTTCCAAAATATTTTTCAAAGGTGTTTATGTTCCTCTCCATAGATAGTACCAGTCAAAACATGCTTAATGTTCAAGTTGTACCTTCAGTTAAAAAGTGACCCTCGTTCAAACATCCTTACTAATCTAAGTGTCAAAGTAAAACATCATTGGAATGTTTTGGATTGATGTATTGTGTTGACCAATTCTGAAAAATGGTAAGCAGGCATGATCATGTAATTAAGACACAATTTTAAGTATGGTTAATCACTTCCAAATACTTCCCAAACAGCTTTCATAACACTGTAAAATAATGATGAGAACATATATAAAATGACAACTGTACTGTTTACGGGTCTGTGTAAGTTTGTTCATATTTCAAGGCATTATGAACTAACACTCTGGCACTCAGCTAACGCTACTAAACCTCATGGGACTGACGCTGTTTCAAGCTCTAATAATTGAGATCACGATTAAAATGCTTCCAATTAGTTCAGATTTTCAAACAAGTAGCCACTGATTAATTTCATGAACAGTAGAAGCACAGTACCCGTCAGTGACCTCTGGATATGATCACATGTTGAGGTCATTGGTATTAAATCTCTGTAAGTAGTATCAGCTGACGGGTGTTTGGTACATCACTATCGCCTCTTGGATACTTTGTTGATGGCCACCAGTCTGTCGGCTACTGCCTCATTCATCACTTCCCTCTTGTCTAATTTTCGACCATGAAGGGTTTCCACTTCTTTGAGAATCTTGTCAACTGATGGATCTACCTCCCGTTTGTTTCTCTTGAGGATACCATCATTCATTAGACCCTGGTTAACAGGCACATTCTTGGCATCAATGACATTGTTCAGGTCTTGGACAGGCATGACCACAGCTCCCTGTTGCCCAGCAACCTGCTTGGCCTGAGCCTGAGCCCCTTGATTTGCCTGTGACTGGATGTTCCCTGGAGCCTGTTTCAGATGTGCCTGATCTTGACCAGCGTGCTTGCCATCTATGCCAAGGTTTTGTGCTGGCTGCTGTACCTGAAGCTGTTGACCTTGTACATTTTGTTGGAGGTTTTTCACTGGCTGTAAAGCTGGTTGTTGTGCACCCTGCTGTCCACCCTGAACTGGTTGCTGTCCACCCTGCTGTCCACCCTGAACTAGTTGCTGTGCACCCTGCTGTCCACCCTGAACTGGTTGCTGTCCACCCTGCTGTCCACCCTGAACTGGTTGCTGTGCACCCTGCTGTCCACCCTGAAGTGGTTGCTGTCCACCAAGCTGTCCACCCTGAACTGGTTGCTGTGCACCCTGCTGTCCACCCTGAACTGGTTGCTGTCCACCCTGAACTGGTTGCTGTATGCCCTGAACTGGTTGCTGTCCACCCTGAACTGGTTGCTGTCCACCCTGAACTGGTTGCTGTCCACCCTGAACTGGTTGCTGTACGCCCTGAACTGGTTGCTGTACGCCCTGAACTGGTTGCTGTGCACCCTGGACTGGTTGTTGTGCACCCTGCTGTCCACCCTGAAGTGGTTGCTGTATGTCTTGTCCACCCTGAACTGGTTGTTGTGCACCCTGTATGCCTTGTTGGGCATCAGGAAATGGCTTTTGTGCACCCTGATCAGGATCGTTGACAACCTGACCTTCCTCATCTGCACCATCCTGAATCAAATCAAATCACCTTGTGGTTAAAAGAAGCTTCTATTGTATTAACATTACAGTATTACGCTGCAAATATTTACGTGAAATATACAATGTCATGAGTAACTACTATGACACTGAATTGACATACAAAACAACTTCCAAAAGATCCATCATTTACAAATGCTGACACTCTCAAATGGTTCACTTCATTCCTGATCTATATCTGTTATTCCTTGACTCACCTTGTGATCCTTGTCCTTGTGTTCCTTGAGTTCCTGCAGGATCTGCTTCTGTTCCTTGATGAGTTCCTTCTGTTCCTCCTGCTGCTCCACAAGCCGCTCCAGCAACACCTGTTGCTTCTGCTCATTCTCCTCGATCTTCTTCTCTCTTTCCTTCAGCACCTGCTCCTTGACCTTGACCTCCTCGTGTTTCTCAGCCGGCTCCCCCTTCTCCACCACAGCAGCATCTTTCCCTCCTGCTGCCTTCCCCTCCTGGCTCAGGTCCTTCTTCTCCCGGCCAAGTTCCTTCCCCTTGCCCTCAACCTGTCCATCTTTGTCAGGTACTTTAGCATCACCAAGACCATCTTTCTTTGGCAGTTCCTCTGCTATCTTTTCTTTGGGCTTCTCTTCTTTCTGTAAACAGAGTGAAGAGTTGGGTTTATGTCAAGTTATATCACAGTTTGTCATGTTTATGTAGGGGAACAGCCAAATGTGGGTGGTAACAGTTTCCCAGTAAGGTGACACTTATAAGCTCTTGTATGGTTTTGTACAGACCAATAATCATAATCAAATCAGGGCATAGGCCAAGTGACTCATTTTTATAAATGCATCACACAATGTGGTTCTTACTAAAAAATGTTTTCAGAACTCCTGAGAACATTTTGCATAAAACTGCTGGATTCTGGACCCACTACAAACCCACCTTCTCAACACTGTCTATGGGAGCATCAGGTACCGGAGGCTCAATTCTTTTCTCATTCTTAACATCAGCATCTACAACAACAAAAACTCTACAGTTTCACACAGATTCAATACGTAAAATACTTCAAACAAACCACTTATCAAATAATTGCTTTCAATTCCAGACATTTACAACTGATCATTGATCACAATCAGATAAATCGCCAACTAGAACTGCCTTGGCTGTACATACCCCCAGGCGGCAGATCAACAGGCTTGTTCAGTGCAGGGTTCTCCAGGTTAGCAGCGAGGTCCTCGGCCCCCTTAGGCGCGACAGGGTGGGTGTGGCCCTTGTCCTGGGTGTACAGTGTGGCAAATGTGCTGACCAACAGGATTGTGATACCTAGCACCATCACCAGCTGTAACATAAACAACTCGGTTCACATGGACATACATAACATATCTATCACCACCTGTAACATAAACAACTTCGGTTAACATGGACATACATAACATATCCTTCACCAGCTGTAACATAAACAACTCGGTTAACATGGACATACACAACATATCTATCACCAGCTGTAACATAAACAACTCGGTTCACATGGACATACATAACATATCTATCACCACCTGTAACATAAACAACTCGGTTAACATGGACATACACAACATATCTATCATCAGCTGTAACATAAACAACTCGGTTCACATGGACATACACAACATATCTATCACCAGCTGTAACATAAACAACTCGGTTAACATGGACATACACAACATATCTATCACCACCTGTAACATAAACAACTCGGTTAACATGGACATACATAACATATCTATCACCAGCTGTAACATAAACAACTTCGGTTAACATGGACATGTAACATATCTATCACCACCTGTAACATAAACAACTCGGTTAACATGGACATACATAACATATCTATCACCACCTGTAACATAAACAACTCGGTTAACATGGACATACATAACATATCTATCACCAGCTGTAACATAAACAACTCGGTTAACATGGACATACATAACATATCTATCACCAGCTGTAACATAAACAACTCGGTTAACATGGACATACATAACATATCTATCACCAGCTGTAACATAAACAACTCGGTTAACATGGACATACACAACATATCTATCACCAGCTGTAACATAAACAACTCGGTTAACATGGACATACACAACATATCTATCACCAGCTGTAACATAAACAACTCGGTTAACATGGACATACATAACATATCTATCACCAGCTGTAACATAAACAACTCGGTTAACATGGACATACATAACATATCTATCACCAGCTGTAACATAAACAACTCGGTTAACATGGACATACACAACATATCTATCACCAGCTGTAACATAAACAACTCGGTTAACATGGACATACATAACATATCTATCACCAGCTGTAACATAAACAACTCGGTTAACATGGACATACATAACATATCTATCACCAGCTGTAACATAAACAACTCGGTTAACATGGACATACATAACATATCTATCACCACCTGTAACATAAACAACTCGGTTAACATGGACATACATAACATATCTATCACCACCTGTAACATAAACAACTCGGTTAACATGGACATACATAACATATCTATCACCACCTGTAACATAAACAACTCGGTTAACATGGACATACATAACATATCTATCACCACCTGTAACATAAACAACTCGGTTTATGGACATGGACATACATAACATATCTATCACCACCTGTAACATAACAACTCGGTTAACATGGACATACATAACATATCTATCACCACCTGTAACATAAACAACTCGGTTCACATGGACATACATAACATATCTATCACCACCTGTAACATAAACAACTCGGTTAATATGGACATACATAACATATCTATCACCAGCTGTAACATAAACAACTCGGTTAACATGGACATACATAACATATCTATCACCAGCTGTAACATAAACAACTCGGTTAACATGGACATACATAACATATCTATCACCACCTGTAACACATAAACAACTCGGTTAACATGGACATACATAACATATCTATCACCACCTGTAACATAAACAACTCGGTTAACATGGACATACATAACATATCTATCACCACCTGTAACATAAACAACTCGGTTAATATGGACATACATAACATATCTATCACCACCTGTAACATAAACAACTCGGGTTAACATGGACATACATAACATATCTATCACCACCTGTAACATATAAACAACTCGGTTAACATGGACATACATAACATATCTATCACCACCTGTAACATAAACAACTCGGTTAACATGGACATACATAACATATCTATCACCACCTGTAACATAAACAACTTTCGGTTAACATGGACATACATAACATATCTATCACCATCTGTAACATAAACAACTCGGTTAACATGGACATACATAACATATCTATCACCACCTGTAACATAAACAACTCGGTTAACATGGACATACACATAACATATCTATCACCACCTGTAACATAAACAACTTCGGTTAACATGGACATACACAACATATCTATCACCACCTGTAACATAAACAACTCGGTTAACATGGACATACACAACATATCTATCACCACCTGTAACATAAACAACTTCGGTTAACATGGACATACATAACATATCTATCACCAGCTGTAACATAAACAACTCGGTTAACATGGACATACATAACATATCTATCACCACCTGTAACATAAACAACTCGGTTAACATGGACATACATAACATATCTATCACCACCTGTAACATAAACAACTCGGTTAACATGGACATACATAACATATCTATCACCACCTGTAACATAAACAACTCGGTTCACATGGACATACATAACATATCTATCACCACCTGTAACATAAACAACTCGGTTAACATGGACATACATAACATATCTATCACCACCTGTAACATAAACAACTCGGTTAACATGGACATACATAACATATCTATCACCACCTGTAACATAAACAACTCGGTTAACATGGACATACACAACATATCTATCACCACCTGTAACATAAACAACTCGGTTAACATGGACATACATAACATATCTATCACCACCTGTAACATAAACAACTCGGTTAACATGGACATACATAACATATCTATCACCACCTGTAACATAAACAACTTCGGTTAACATGGACATACATAACATATCTATCACCACCTGTAACATAAACAACTCGGTTAACATGGACATACATAACATATCTATCACCACCTGTAACATAAACAACTCGGTTAACATGGACATACATAACATATCTATCACCACCTGTAACATAAACAACTCGGTTAACATGGACATACATAACATATCTATCACCACCTGTAACATAAACAACTCGGTTAATATGGACATACATAACATATCTATCACCAGCTGTAACATAAACAACTCGGTTAACATGGACATACATAACATATCTATCACCACCTGTAACATAAACAACTCGGTTAATATGGACATACATAACATATCTATCACCACCTGTAACATAAACAACTCGGTTAATATGGACATACATAACATATCTATCACCACCTGTAACATAAACAACTCGGTTAATATGGACATACATAACATATCTATCACCAGCTGTAACATAAACAACTCGGTTAATATGGACATACATAACATATCTATCACCAGCTGTAACATAAACAACTCGGTTAATATGGACATACATAACATATCTATCACCACCTGTAACATAAACAACTCGGTTAATATGGACATACATAACATATCTATCACCACCTGTAACATAAACAACTCGGTTAACATGGTTATCATGGACATAAACATATACATATCATATCTATCACCACCTGTAACATAAACAACTCGGTTAACATGGACATACATAACATATCTATCACCACCTGTAACATAAACAACTCGGTTAACATGGACATACATAACATATCTATCACCACCTGTAACATAAACAACTCGGTTAACATGGACATACATAACATATCTATCACCAGCTGTAACATAAACAACTCGGTTAACATGGACATACATAACATATCTATCACCAGCTGTAACATAAACAACTCGGTTCACATGGACATACATAACATATCTATCACCACCTGTAACATAAACAACTCGGTTAATATGGACATACATAACATATCTATCACCACCTGTAACATAAACAACTCGGTTAATATGGACATACATAACATATCTATCACCACCTGTAACATAAACAACTCGGTTAATATGGACATACATAACATATCTATCACCAGCTGTAACATAAACAACTCGGTTAATATGGACATACATAACATATCTATCACCAGCTGTAACATAAACAACTCGGTTAACATGGACATACACAACACATATCTATCACCACCTGTAACATAAACAACTCGGTTAACATGGACATGGACATAACATATCTATCACCACCTGTAACATAAACAACTCGGTTAACATGGACATACATAACATATCTATCACCAGCTGTAACATAAACAACTTCGGTTAACATGGACATACATAACATATCTATCACCACCTGTAACATAAACAACTCGGTTAATATGGACATACATAACATATCTATCACCAGCTGTAACATAAACAACTCGGTTAACATGGACATACATAACATATCTATCACCACCTGTAACATAAACAACTCGGTTAACATGGACATACACAACATATCTATCACCACCTGTAACATAAACAACTCGGTTAATATGGACATACACAACATATCTATCACCAGCTGTAACATAAACAACTCGGTTAACATGGACATACATAACATATCTATCACCAGCTGTAACATAAACAACTCGGTTAATATGGACATACATAACATATCTATCACCACCTGTAACATAAACAACTCGGTTAACATGGACATACATAACATATCTATCACCAGCTGTAACATAAACAACTCGGTTAATATGGACATACATAACATATCTATCACCACCTGTAACATAAACAACTCGGTTAATATGGACATACATAACATATCTATCACCAGCTGTAACATAAACAACTCGGTTAATATGGACATACATAACATATCTATCACCACCTGTAACATAAACAACTCGGTTAACATGGACATACATAACATATCTATCACCACCTGTAACATAAACAACTCGGTTAATATGGACATACATAACATATCTATCACCAGCTGTAACATAAACAACTCGGTTAACATGGACATACATAACATATCTATCACCAGCTGTAACATAAACAACTCGGTTAACATGGACATACATAACATATCTATCACCACCTGTAACATAAACAACTCGGTTAACATGGACATACATAACATATCTATC